GGGGGGGGGGGGGGGGGGGGGGGGGGGGGGGGGGGGGGGGGGGCGCAATCCATACTCCCGTTGCGACACATACCCGGGACCTTCTTCTCACTCTTCCTCGGCATCGTGCCCAGGGCCTTGCAACCGAAGGGTAGCTTGCCGATCTCGGAGGAGTCGCGAACGGCGCCGTTGATGATCACGCCCTGGCGCCGCCGCCGCCGCCGCCGGGTTGATGTCGACCAAAAACAAAATGGCAGAAAAAAAAAAAAAGAATGGGAAAAACAGAGAGTGTGAGACAGGAAAAGAATGAAATCGGAAACGAGACAACCGAAATCACGGCGGCACAAACGAGATCCTCAACAATACTAACAACCACAACCACAGCAACTAATCGTTGGTGACAATGATGTAGGCCTACTATAGATGAGAGAGAGCGAGTACCAACCAAGCATCAAATACACACTCACAGGCACATTTTCCTTGGTCAGCCGGGTAGCTCAGTCGATGCCAACATCAAAGACACGCACAAAGACTAGCCATCGGTGATCGACGATGTGTTGTGACTAATTGCTTGGTTCGTCCTTTCAAGGAAGCGTGGTCAATTGGTCGATCAACCAACTATGGCCAAACATGAGACCCCCCCTCCCTCCCCCCCCGCTCAGTCAATTCCTGTAGTACATCGTGTTGTCTCTCCCTCACCCGCCAGCCGTTCTGAAGCCCCCCGGCGGCAAGCTGGTCCCCCATGAGCGCTCTTCGTAAGGAGCCCCCACCGTCCACGACTAGCACCTGATGGCGTCATCATCATCACCATCACCGTCAAGAGAGAAGGAGTAGGAGGAAGAAAGGGAGCACTTGTATATTTTCATCACTTTGAGTCAGCGCTCATAAACAGCATTTCTGCATCGATGAGACGGTTCCAACGCCGCCATTCTCGTCACCATCACTCTTGTCACCGCTGCGGAGAAATCGAGCCTTTTGAACATCGGCCCAGGGGGTGTGTTATCCTACGTCAACACCCACGGGACTGCTTCGGCCGGCGCGACGACCGCTCGTTCTGTTGTTGTTGTTTGCTTTAGCTTCGCTCGTCGCGCAGTGCTTCTTGCGCACAGGAGTCGTCGTGGGCCTTGTTGATACAGTACAGGGCGGAGGAACGGATTTGTTGTGCGGGTGGTCCAGATTGTACGTGTGAGATAGACCTCTTTGGCACACAGATGAAATAATCAAATTATGTTTTTTCACGTTGAACAGGGAGGGTGGCCGCTACAGGGCGGGGGGACCTGTCAAGGCACATCCTTCAGCCGCGTAGATTACGCACGGTCCCGCAGGGTAGTGGCCAGAAAGGGTACACAATGTTGCATCATTCCGCCACATTTTTCGTGCCTTTTTTCAACCCTTCGCATTTCTTGGCCATCTTATCTGTGCTTCATGGAAAGAGAGAAGGGGGCCATTCGAATGCTCTCGTTCATAGCTTTAATGGTGATAGAAGTAAAGTCTGCTAGATTTCTCGTGTGGCTTCAAATGTTTTTTTTTGTAGATGAAGGATCCTTACCAAATACCACTGCTGTTTCGCGAATAAAATAATCAACTTGCCCTGACTCATCGTAAAGACTCTCTTTCAACTCACATCCCCGCTTCGACGGCTGTGGAACAGTATTATCTCGAACGGTGTGTTTCATTCTTTGATTGAATGAATATCTGCTAGTAAAACGAAAAACGAAATTTCAAAACATAAGGCAGGGTAGGGTAGGGTAGGGGGCCCCAGGGGGGGGAACCATTCTGCGTGACTGCGGATCGGAGCACGTGTCTACCCGGCAAAAATAAAAGCTGTAAGCGCTGACGTAAGGCAATGTAAAAAGATCCCCTTCGGCTTCTGTGGTCACATCTCCAAAGGATAGTCTCTCTTTGATTCCATGTCGTATATTTTCTTGAAAAAAAATTAACATAGCGACCAATTCTTAGCCGAGCTCACAAACGGAGTTGCTTAAGTTCTTAGATCGTTGAGATATTCGAGGCAGTTATCCATTTCTTCATTAACTGCCAATTCTTGAAGTGCGGGCGCTACAACTGCATGCATGTCTTCAAAACTACTCGGGGATACGTTATATCGGGACTAGCACTGCATGCATACAGTTGTGGTCCCCGGTATAATCCCGGTGCGAACCAGCCGATTCCGCCGCCATTATAGCGGGAAACCGCATTACTCAGAGGATGAAACAACCTGAGTGTTCCATCTGTGCCAGATAAATTCACAAAGCATCATAGCGGCAACCGGCATTGTTCAGAGTATGGAACAAGTTGAAAATTCCATCTATGCCAGACGAATTCACTGGGGCATCATAGCGGGCAACCGGCATTTTTCAGAGTGCATGGAACAACTTGAGAATTCCATCTGCGCCGACGGCTTCACGGGCACTATTCGACCGACATTATTCCGGGACCACCTCACTGCCGTCTTGTCAAAACAAGCACAAAAACAAGCAGCGGCCGGCGGCTAAGACCCCCACCTTGCCGGCGCCGTCCTCCTTGGTCAGCCGCTGCCGCACCAGGGGGTTGTTCTCGAAGCACTTGACGGTTTCGACCCGCCCGCAAAACCTAGAAACGCCTCCGTAGTCTCTGGTGGCATGGGGGGGGTCCGTCGACTTGTGTACGTGCAGCAATTGTGCGTTTGTACACGTTGAACTGATGTGTGTGTTTCGTGTGTCGTTGTAGGTGCAGTTGTTGTTGTTGCTGTTATTAGTGTTCAACGGACCTGGTTTGAGAAAGAGCCTCCGTACTTGGCCCTTGCTTGTCGTTAAAACGTCTGGTCCAAAGCAAGGGCGTGAATGTGCCATAACAATGCTGCAGTACATGGAAAAGAGAAGAAAGAAACCGCTGCTAAGGGTACCGTGCACACTGAGAGAGCAAGAAATCGCGAAAACTGCAGGGAACGTAAACCGCCATTGAAAGATATATATTGGCATGCTTCGTAGATTAGTTAACATGGAGCGATGGGGAGAGAGAAGTGGAGAGGGAGAGAGAGACGGGGGGGAGGGATGGAGAGAGAGGAGAGAGAGAGAGAGAGACACACATACAGAGTAACATGGCTGGTATAGACGGGCGGGGTGGGGGGCATCTTAGACGGTGAACGGCTGACAAAATTCACCTGAAGGAGTTGGTCACCACCTGCACGTCGCCGTCGTAGTCGTCCATGATGTCCGCTGTCGCGGGCGCTTGGTCTGAAACAGGTACACCAACCGTTGCGGCCCGCAAAGTAGCAAGAAAGTTAGGTAATGAGGCTGGACCTTTCGGGAAAATCAAGAAGCACAACAGTTGGGTACGTACGTATGCTGCTATTGCAGTGCAATTCTATTAGATAGACGATGTTGCCGCCGGTAATGGTTATCGATCGTTGCTCTCACACTAAATATTGAAAAAGGCCGAGCCTATCGACACCCAGTGCCAGTTTGTGTCCTCTACATCCCATATTTATTCGTTTTTTTTGTTGCCATGCGCATGCCATATGCATACCGTATGCTATGACGCAATGAATTAATATCCTCTATAGAAATGAGAGGCTATTATAGACTAGCAATGGATCCTTAGCGCCCGGTGGAAGCTATGTTTCTGTCTGTGTTTCTACGATTCACCGAGCGGCATGCATACAACATCTCCCCTAGTCTGTAGGTAACAGGCTCTGCATGGTACAGCTCTACAGGTTGAGCCGCGGTTCATGTGTCATCCCTCGCTCGTGGGTGAGGTCGTGCCTAGACTATACATCAACAGTGGCGGGCCGTCAATAACGCCGATTGAATAGCGCTGGTGGCCTTGCAGGCGCCCGGCGCCGGTGGAATAGCTGGGCACAGACTGAATCAGCAAGTCCTTGTGTTCTTCGAGGAGCGCCGGCTCCCCTGGATAGCGCCGGTCGATGCGCCGGGAACATACCGGCGTTATTGAGCCCCCCCCACTGCTGCACATTGGGTGTGGAAAAACGAGTATACGCCAAGTAGATGGAGGGAAGGAGTGGTTGTGAACCTGTTCAAGAAAGGAGACAAGACTGACCCAGGAAACTACAGGGGGATCACACTGTTGAACACAGTAGGAAAAGTGTTCTGTAAGCTGCTGAACGATAGGATAGTGGGAGTATTGGAGAAGGAACATAGCATTAGTGAGGGCCAGGCAGGTTTCCGCAAGAAGAGGGGGTGCGTAGACCACG